ATCCCGGTGGCTTCTCCGAGCCTGCCTTCTTATCTGAAAAGATGTTGACTTATTTCTTCCTACCTTTCCGAGCTGTTGCGAGAAGCAAGTGATGAGAATGCTCTTTGGAGACCATCAGCCACTTCATACATGTGAGGAAAACACAATGTGAGCAGAGTACATGGGTCACGAAGCCCCCTGGGCGTTGGAGATGGTCCCCACCGCTCGTAGCACGGCTTAGCCAGTCCCACGCACACACTCTGAGGTGGAGAAAAATCCCCTTATTCAGAGCATCCTGTAGGAAGAATCGCAAAAACAAACTAAAAAGTCAACAGCAGGAAATGGTCCCTAACTCATTATGACAGAGTGTCCCTCCAGTGCCCAATGTTGTTTCTCAAAATATTTTGATAAGCTCGGAGTATCGTCAAGATTATTATCCAGAATCATCCCATTCATTTGAGAGAAATAATGGTTCCAGGGAACAGTGTTAATATCTGTTAAGCATGGATTGTATCAGATTAATTCTTAAATTTGCACTGTGCCAAAAAGACATTCCTGGCAAAAGTTTTGGATGGTGATGACACATCTTCCGTGTCCCGGGTACTTGCTATGACTTGGGTCATATAGTGAGTAGGCCACTCACTGTGCTCCAGGAGCTCAGACGGCACGCGTGGAATTGTGTCTCCAACCCCGTTTCCTTGTGAGGTTAATCAGCGCGGAGCCTTATGAGAATCCGGTGTAAGCGTGTGTCTCAGCCTCAGCCAGTGCTGGCTGTTTTCCCAGCATAGATGCCGATGATGTTTATCAATCGTGTGCAGTGGAAGGACATTGGGTGTGTTTATCGTGTCCGTTGAGTGAGCGAGGCGAACCATTTGCTGTGACACCCACCCTCTCAGATCGCCCCTACGGTAACCCGTCAGGGGATCTTCAGCCTTTCTTTCGCTCCAGTTGCTAAATGACACATCTAGGACCTGAAGCTATTACTTCGCGTCCAGTGCTCCCACTGATTTTATTCCTCGCTCAAAGGGTGGCATTCCCAGAAGACAGGGAGGGTTAAAGCAGTTGATAATACATCCATGGGCTCTTTGCAGCATCCGTGTGCTTGCTGATGTACAGACACAGATGCAATTGGACAGGAAAAAGGGGAATTTAACATCTGTGTTCAAAGATCAAACTTCACTGGTTCCTACGACCAGGAGAATCGCCCAGAGAACCTGACCTTCCTGCCTCAACTTCCCTGTCCAACCCGGTGGGGAGGGTGAGTGCTGATGTGAGCGGTGACCTTAACCCCTACCTGGGAGGATCCTTGGAACAGACTTTGGGGAATCATAAGGAATATTATTCTGATGGAAGATATTTTAAAACATGTGAGATGAAGTTCTATATTCAGTCCTATTGAAACGATTTCTGAGGATGCCGTTCTCACTCAGCAGGCCGGTTACTTTTTCAGTCATATTATGACAGATGTAGTTTGAGAATCACTGTCAGTAAAATCACTAAAACAG